CTGACTGGGACTCCAAAAATGTTCCACATTGCCAAATTTTCTACAATAGCTTGTAGAATTTGCCTGCAGTTCATACCTCATTAATTTCTCTGTAATTATGTTAGCCGGCTGCCTGAATATAGATAGATAGAGAGAGAGATAGAGAGAGAGATATACAGTATATAGATATATAGATATTTTCAGGCAGCCGGCTAACATAATTACAGAGAAATTAATGAGGTATGAACTGCAGGCAAATTCTACAAGCTATTGTAGAAAATTTGGCAATGTGGAACATTTTTGGAGTCCCAGTCAGACAAAAGATGATAGACATAATGGACAACCTGGTTGCCCAGAAAACAAGTTTGATAAGGGATGTGGGCTACAATCAACTGGTTATGGGATTCTCTATAAAAATTACCATATTGTAGGGGATGAGCTCCATAATGACAGATTCCATAAGCCTGTGGAATCTTTCTGAATCTGTCCTGTAAGACTTGCTGAGAATAAGATCTCAAAATGCAGTAGAGTAAATGCACTATAACATTTAGGTACACTTACAGATTAAGATGTCTAGTTGAACTTCAGACTATGCAGCTGGATGCTTAAATCAATTTTAGGATAAAATTTTCTACATTCAATGTTGAGTTTCTTGTTTAGAATAATTTACCTAAGCTGTGCCTTAACCAGTTCATGGTAAAAAAGGACTGATCATTAAGAACTTGCCAAAGGCAAGCCAGAAGACATTCTTTCTGGGAAGTTGAGATTTCATGCCCCAGGATACATGAAGTTGCATGTGTTCCTATACTACAGTGCTTATTTTTCAGGAAATATCCTATATTGCTCAGAAGAGATGCAAATATACAGATTATACAATAAGATGCATTTCTTGCTTTACTTAACAAAGTCAGTGCAACATCTGCAATATTATTACAGGTTGCACTTTCGTCCAGCTACACTGATGAACAGCATCCCCCAGAGATTCATATGGCCCCCACCATACCCACCTTCAAGTTAGCTCTTTTCCCAGGCCTTGGGTTACGGTATTTAATAGGCCCCTTTAGGCTGGGGCTGATTTGGAGTGGGGGGTGTTTTTTTGTTTCCCATGTCAATTTGCTGCTCTTTTTATAATGTTGTTTTCCTTCTGTTTTTTAATCTATAAAGTTGTTTTGGAATTAGGTGGCCTACAAATTTAATACCTACATAAATAAATAATCCATTCTAGGTATACGGTATAGTTGTAAATATGCCCCACCTTATGGACTCAACATGTTTGTTGTTCCTTCCTTGCCATCCAGTTTTCCTTACATGAGACCTTTTGAGCCAACTATCTCTGTTTTGTAGGGGGCCAGGAACGAAACATACTGAAAGCAGATGGATCTGAGTATGAGTATGTCTATGCAGAGGAAGACTATGAAGAGGGCCTGGTAGCAGATGGGACTGAGAGCCCTATGTTGAGGGATGGTGAGTTGCATCAATCTCTGATGTGTGTTTGAAGAATTGGCGTGTGCTTGTGGCTTTCTCTGTGGATAGTAAAAGTTTAGAATACTGAGCTCCTTTTGAAAATTGGGGAAGTGATTAGTAAAAGTGCAATCATCCGTAGACTGCTTGATAACTTCTATGAAATAAGTAATGGCTTTAAATCCACTCTACCTAATTGACCTTGGCTGAGTCTGAAAAAGATAAACAGGTCAGATTTGGCTAGTACTTGCATGGGACACACTAGACAATCCCAGCATTCTGGGTTAGACTGGAAGAAGGTCAAAACAAAATCCCATAGATGGGCAGTGAAAAACCATTTCCATACTGTTACAAAGAAAACTAGATGGATGCTTCCATATGGTTAAAAGGAGTGGTGCTTAACTAGAACCTTTATCTATATAGAGGATAATTTTGTTATAAGCTACTCTTTTTATGTGTGTATATATGTATGCAATAATTTAAAATATTTCTAAATTATCCCAATTACAAAATTCTGAGTAGTGTTCAAGAAAAGCAGAAAATAACAAGATTTTTTTTTTTAAATATAACATAGATAGTAAGATGAAATGCCCACAATCAATCAGTTAGGGCCAAAGGCATGGCAGAATATGAATGTGTTTTCCACCTTGTGAAATGCAAGTTGGGAGGGTCCCTCACTTATCTCTGGGGAAAGCCTGGGGCCATTAAAGGGAAGGCCTGTTGTCTGACCCTAGTCCTATATTCCTTACTTTGACCACTAGCTGGCAATCTTGGAAAAGATTTTTTTTTAGCAAAGCTTAAACAACATTTTTCTCTGCAAAATAAAATATTCTTTGCCTGAAGTTGCCTAACAATATTATTCCTGTTCTTGCCATCTAGTAAAAGCAAATAACTGTAAAATAGGGTTTATAAGTAAAGAATTTTCCTTATCATGATTGAGAAAAGGAATATTTGGATTATATTTGCAACCAGCAAATATTGTTTAACCTGAATAACTGTTGTTCGTAATAACTAATTCATTTTTTCATATGATCGATAGTCCAGCATGAAATGTATATGCAATTGGCATCTTCTGAGCAGCATTACACCAAGAGAAGACTATCAATTAATTGCATGCCCCAGGAGAATATTTAACTTCTACCTTATTAAAAGAAGCCAGTAATAGGTTGGCACCAAAAAGTACCTGATTCTGTTATCACCTTTTTTCCTAAATCGCAAGTACATTTCTAGTGGATTTTTAAAATTTTTTGCAAGATTTGGTTTCACAGCTTGTAATCTGAAAGTGCCTATGGATAGTGAGATTAGGCTGAGATAATAACGATAGTTCCCTTCCCCCTTTTAAATTGAGAAGGTATTGCTATAATAAACCTTTCATTTCTTTTATCCCAGAAATATCCACTGTTCTGTGTCCTCACCATTCTATTCCGTCTGTTGTTGTTGTTGTTATGAGTGGGAAGAGATCCATTCAGAGGCCAGAAATTTCTCCTAGGGCCATGACTTTGTAAACCGGTAGTTTGCTCCTTGGGGTGGAAGTGATGAGCCTCAAAGCATCCCCAAGCATAGATGACCAAAGAGAGTTCTTTCTGAGGAAGGAAAGCAGCAGAGCTACTGGATGTCAAAGAAACCTTTTTTGTTCAGATTCAGTTCCATTTATTCCCAACTTCTAATAATAAAACAGATCCTGTAGGCTAAAATATGGAACATATGGCCTGCCTAGACTTTTCTCATGATCTGACTTGTTGCCAACTGAAACAGGAGGAAAAAAGCAGGATGTTTACCAGACTCGATAAATCTGGAGGTGGTGTGGTACGTTAATTAGAATTGGTACTTGGTAGCAGAGTCAAATATCATACTTCTTTTAGAAGAGGAAGTGAATTTCATGGTGGGAAAGTATGTCATTTGGAAGATTTGAGTTTGCGGAGGTACCAGCATTAACAACTTCCATAGCTGTATTTCTTCAGTAGGGCCTTGATCCGTTTAGTACCCTGGAAGAATAAATCAACATGCTTGTGATAAAAGAAAACTTCAAGACAAAAGAGGATTTCATTCAACTGAAGAGAGACAACTTATGTGTACCAATCAAAAGTCATACTGTTAATTTGGAAAAGGCAGCATTACTTGCTAATCTTTATCGAATGGATTGCCTCTATGTGCATGGACTGATGATGGGGAGCCACTTACAATGCATTAGGAATCCTCTTATCAACAGTGCACATCAAGACATGATGCCAACCTTCACATACTAGGAAGATCTCAATGTCCTTACAATATTTTTGACACAAAGCTGTGCATCCCTCCAAAAAGAACCTGTGGATCAATCTCTGTGCACTTCACATTGGATCATTCCCTTGCATTTCATGTTGCATCTGAGGAGCAATAATCCTGTGCATTCAAAATACATGCTACCACCGTTAATACACTAGTGAAAATTTGGATCAAATCACTCTATAATAGCAATCTGAGAGTGTGGTCTACTAAGAACATTGATTCTACATCAGTGCTGTTAGAGGCAATCCCCATAATCAGTAATTTTATTAAACCATATCGTTTCTCTCTTCAGAAGAAAAAAAAAATGAAGTGTATAGATAATATGTGAACACTGTGTCATAAACTGGGATAGCTAAAGTTGACTAACATTAGACTTCTACTGCTCAGCATTGGTCTTTAGGATAAATAGCGGAATGGGTATATACAAAGTGTAACTGTGTCTGGCTTCTTTCCATCCTATTCTTGTAATATCTTGCAGTACAATTCTATCCGGAGCATTAGAAAGAATGGGCCATATTTCTGTTGAATTGCGGCTAAGTGTCATGTCTAAGCTAGCACTCTTATGCCTTAGATAAGCTAATGTTTCACGGCCGGTTTCACCCTCATGGTTATTTTTTTTTCCAGCTGACCTGTGCACCTTGCATCTGGAAGAGGGCACCTGCAGCAAATACACCCTAAGATGGTACTATAACCAGAAAGTATTGGAATGTCGGCCCTTTCTCTACAGTGGCTGCGGAGGGAATTCCAACCGCTTCAGCTCCAAAGAGGACTGTGAACTCCACTGCAAGCCCCAGGCAGATACAGGTAGGAATTGCCAAAGCATCCCATGAAGTACTTACTCTTCAGTATAGGTGTAAATATTGTAGCTCTCCATGACTTTTCACCATCTTTTTTTTTTTTTGGCAGGTAGTAGCACAGTGGAGAGAAACAAAGCTGTATAAATGCTGAAGTGAGTTTGGAGAACTGACATACTGAAGAAAAGAAGAGTTGCAGCCTTTCAGGCTTTCTGCCCTTCTTAGCCTGCATGAGGTCTTAGATATACACCTGGCAAGCATTTGGTCTGAGAATCATCTTGCTGCCATTTTTACTGCTTGCAACACAGTTGCTTGTGGGTGCATATGTTCATTTGAGTGTGTGTGTGCGCGTACATCATTCGTGTGTGGGCTGCTTCAGCTGGAGCAGAGAAATGGTGCTATTCTTTTTTTTACAGTAGTTTTGTTGCTCTTGATTTATTTTTTTAAATTAAGGTGATTTTTTAATCAAATGGGAAATATATGCATACCGTCTTTTATGTATAATGTAAAGAAAAGACATATTTTTTAATTAGAGTTCTTTAACTTATTTGATACTGGCTGACTAATGACACGTGGAATGTATTATGGCCAGACCAAACCGATTCTGCCTGCAAGTTGTTTTAATTCAGGGTTATAGATCTATATATTATTCCTCTGAGAGTAGACTAATAAGAAGCCAACTAGACAGTATCACCCAGGCTAATCCTGAGAGGCTAAAATGCCCTTCCATTCATAAAAATACAAGAATCTTCTGATTCACAGGCAACACTAGAGTTCTTTCCATGAGTTTATTTCATTATGAGCAGAGATTATTTCAGGAACCCCTCCCCGCTTCCCTGTTTTTTCATAGCTTATGACTTTTTATTGTTAACAAATAACACTTGGGGAATACAGGCTTTTCCTAAGCCTGAGATAGGTCAAGAATAAAGTGGTCACAGAATGGAAAATCTTCTCCCAAAGCATTTCTGTTTTCCTGCCATCAGTTTTCCAGTGCCCCTAGAGTACTAGTACTCCTTAATTTTTCAACTTTTGAACAAAATAATGCCAGCGCATTGGATTCATTTCTGAGTTGCTCTGTGTCCAGGCTCCATGGATTAAAACATAGTGGTGGCAAGGCTGGCAAAATTCAAAGTTGCAAAGTTTCATATATTTTGTAATATGAAAAATAAGAAGTGAAAAGTAGATTTGAGTGTTGAGAAAAATTCATTGTCTATTACCAAGAGCAGAAGAAGTTCAGCTGTGACTAAGAGTCATTTCAATTCTGTGAATATGCCTAATATTTTACTAAATTCGTTGAAGCTAGTGCAAATCACCACATCCACTGACAGAGAATGCCATATGCCATGGAGAATATTATTTTTCATGTTTTTTGAGGTACTTGAAGCTCTGGGACAACTAGAGCTGTTCTAGATATGGCTGCACTATAGAATTATTAAAAAGCATGATTGTTTTCCTTTTTTTTTCTTAGAACTAAACTTATTTTAAATTGCCACTGCATACTGAATCAAGATTTTCAGTGAACCTTTTCTTTAGCATTCACAGTCATTGCAAATCCAAACAGAGGTTTAGCCCTAACATTCACTGCTTTATATTTACTTATGCTGGATCTCATTCTTTATTTTGTTCCTGATTCACTTAGTTTAAAAAAAAAAAAATCTACCATTTTTCATAGTCAACTTGAAATTTTACCATCCAAACACCACATTTTAAAAAAGATTCAGACTAGTTGGAACAGCTGCATTGAAGGGCACTGTGGATGACAGGGAGTTGAAACTAAAATGTTGACAAGTAGAGGCTGGAGAAATTAGATATATTTAACAATAGACGATGTTAAATGTGCCCAATTAGAACATATAATGCTATTTTTGAAGTACCTTATGGAGATGAAGATCTCTTCTCCAACATCCCAGAGTATAGGACAGTATAGGATAGAAACAAGGTAGTTCTATACTCCCTCTCTCTCTATATATGCATACATACATACACACACACATACACAGACATACATATACACATACATACATACACATACATATAGACATACGTACACACATACATACATACAC